CATTTCTTTTTTATTTTCTCAGAGAAAAACAATCAGAGCTCATCACTGCTGTAGTCATGGAGATTTCATGTCTCCACAAGAAATTCAATTGGAGAGTTTCTTTGTTAATCCCACACTGGACATTTAAGATTCCATGTAAATTATAGTACGGCAGGCGGGGAAACCACTGAAACCAATTACAGCATGATTCATGACCCATTGTGGGCTGTCCTGAGCTGCTGGGGCTGTGATACAGTTGGTGGTCAGGAAGTGGACGGTGACCGGGTAGATGTGGGAGCCAGAGCTTTGAAAACCTATAGACGTTTGGCTTTTCAGAGTACTATGTACTCAACACAGCCACTAGCAACTCCATCACCTTGCTTGCCAGCCTGTTCTTTCCTGTCTTCCCCTTCTTAGCACCTCTGTCTGCTGAGCGGTCCATCCTCTGATTCCTTCTTCAGGCGGCCAGCTCCTTGCTGCATTTTGACTTCCACTCTAGAGAAACCTACTTGTATTATCTACGTACTTGTCTCTGGAAAAAATAGCCAACACCTTCAGTTTAAAGGAGGGGAGATTTGTTTTGTTTTGGTGCTTGGTTGCAGAGGGGTCAGTACTTGGCAGTTGGTTTTAAGCCAAAAATGGTACGACAGAGGGCCTGGTGAAGGAAAGCTGCTCACCTCATGACAGCCAGGATGGTGGTAGGGTTGGAGGGCCAGGAATATACATACGTTCCAGTCATGCTCCCAGGGGCCCACCTCCAACCAGGCCACCCCTCCTAACAGCAAATCCAGCTACTGAACTCATCAGTAGATCAATCCACTGATGTGGATAGTGTCCTCGCGTTCCAGTCAGTCACCTTCCAAACACAGGAGACTTTGGGGGAACATTTTAAATCTAAACCATAAGACCGCCATTCCACACATCCTCCCATCTCCCTTTCCTTCTGGCTCTCAGTGCTTTGCTCTGCCTCCTAGCTGCAGTCTCCTAGGAAACCACCCTCCCGCCTTCGTCATTCCCTGCTCCCTCCATGGCTGCTCTAGCAGTGAGACACAGAGCAGGTCCTAAACAAATCTTCGCTGAACAGCTGAGAGGTCCTCCAATCTTCCTAAAATTTGATAGTGTTACTTCTTGGTTTAAGTGTTTCAGGGGCTCCCACCATCTTGGTACATAATCCAAACCTGTCATTCAAGGCTCTTTGGGGCTCACACACTTCCTCCCATGAGAGCCATTTGTATCCCATGGCCCGGACATCAAGGGGAATACTTACCAGTGCTCCCGACAGGACATTAAGGCATTAAGGGTAATGACTGAGGATAATCTCTGGCTCTGGAGGCAGATGAAAAGTGGCTACAACCGGGAGGAGTCACACTTACGGTCTGTGCCACAGGCTCCTCATCTGTACAGTGGGATCGGCGATAGCACCACCTAACAAGGTGGTTGTGCGGACTGGATGTGTGAATTCATGTCAAACGCTTAAACCCATGCCTGGTACAAACACACTCTCCATACTTGTTACCTTGGGATGATTGTGATTGTCATTATTGTATGCTGCTTTCTTCAACCTGCAATGTACTCCTCCATCTTTGCTGGGCCAGTGCCTCTGTATCCTCTTCATTTCAGTCTCCAAATTATGACGTTTCTGACATTGGCTTTGGTAGCTAGCCATGGACAGTGAAAGGGATAAGTGAAGACTCAGAATGTGTGGTTTTAAATTCTGGTTGTACTGTTACTGCTTTCTAACCTTACAGATTTGGTTTCTTTATCTGTAAAATTAGGATAATAAAATAATAGTACCTACCTCATTAGAGTTGTCAGGAAAAAATATGTACTTTATAAAACCTGGTTAACATCTACTAAATTTTTCATTTATGCTTGGTCTTTTTGTATTAGACTTTCTTACCTTATATCAGAAAGTAGCCATTGTAATTATAATACTTTTATTTGTTTCTTTTGGCTTCTAGACTACTGGTTACCTAAGTTTAAATACAGGGTCTTTTTCATCATAAGTGCTTGACATATCATTCAGTCAGTGGGACAGGAGAATCCAGATGTTTTGTCAATAAATGCAATCCTTTGCATGAAGTCCTATAACAAGGGGCTGTGATGGGAAGGGAAGATGTCCTGAAGGAAGAATCCTCAGAGGGAGATGCTTTTATTTCTTTAGAAAGTACTGAAGACTGAAGGTTCAGTGCCACTACACTATTTCATTTGGCACCAAGTAAATAGAAGATGAAGCCTACTCTCACAGGGCAGGTACTAGAATCCCAAGGCATATGTGACACATGCTTTTTCAGTGGGGTTGACTGACACAGTGGCTAACAGCATTGTGAATTAATAGTTAATTCTTTAGAACAGCACAAAGTCTTGCTTTGCAATGTTTTCTGAGTATAGTGGTGTACATACCATCAGGTTAGCCTTGTGATGTCAACTAGCTGCAAAATTCCACAAAATTGACCCATTAGCTAGTAATGGGCCGGCTCTAGCACATCATGATCAGACTTCCAGGAACCACTCTGTTTCCAGGTGTCAGCATGGGGAGGAGGTGTTAAATGGGGTAGATCACAGAAATGAGTGTTGTAAAATTGTGTGCTTACTGTTATCTTGAAATTCTTCCCATCCATGGGCTGTGATCTGTGCCCATAGTCACCTCTCAAAATGCAGCTTTCCGGGTTCTGCTCAGAGTATATTTTGCTTCATCCTCCCAATCAGGACTATGCTTTGTGCAACAGACGGAGTCAATTAGCCTTTCATGCCAGAGTCCAATTGTAAGTCAGTTCTGAGGTTGTTAAGCTAAATGAGTCTGGTGGCATTAGCCTTATGCTGAAGGGCAGTAACCCACACCACAGTGTTGTTAATGGTCTGCTCCAGAGACTCCAAGGAACAGGAGATGCATCTCTGGGGGACAGGCAGGTGGTAAGGGGCTGCCTGCTCAGAGACCTGCTCGACCCTAGTTGTGTGTGGAGCTGGAGCTAGAGCTGCCTGGACCACAGTTGGCCTTTGCAAAGTTAGGCACCCAGTACCACTAGATCATTAGCTTTCATGACCTGGAAAATTCTTCTGAAATTAACACTCCATCCAAGCTGGATGCTATCAGAGCCAGTTGAGTAAGCCTGAGCCACCTTTAGGGATTTCCTCCAAAAAAATTAAATCCTTTAAGCAGACTACAGAAAATAGCCAGGTTCTGTACCCTTCAATGTGTTCAGTTAAAATCAGAAAACACCAGTGAGGTGTGCACTGTGGTTGAGGTCCAGGCTCATATATGCACAAAAAACACAAGCGTCATCGGGAAGATCTTGCCAAGCCACTTAGCTTCAGCATATGGCCCTGCTTGGGAGGTGTTATAAGGCACCTCTCTGAAAAGTACCAGGTGCTGTGGAAAGCAAATAAAGCAGACCTTCCAGTGCCTGCCTCAGGCACTCGCTGTGAGGAGCCAGGCCCCCAGAATATACAGAGGTCCCCTGATAGGCGCGGACAGGGAGGTATAGGCATAGCTGGTTGCAAGATTCAAGGGGAAAGCCACATGAATACCATGCTGCTTGTACAGTGCACTGTGAACTTCGATCATTTGTCAGGCTTTTTAATGCCCCTTCTAGTTAAAACTGTAGAGGAGAGATACAGAAGGTATTTCTTACAGCCCTTTACAAACCCTTGTGGTTCCCCACACATCTCCCTCACTAAGCCGAGCTTGTTGATATCATAAAGTGTGCTAAGTAAATGTAGTTTTTTTGGGTAGAAAGAAGTACCAAAAGCACTGAGTATGTCAGCAGACAACTCAGGGGTGAGCTAAAGACAGAACACTGAGACAACCTCCCATTGTTTCCTGTAATTGCCAAATAATTTAAATTCTCCTGAAGTCCATTGTGTTCTCCCATGGAAAGAGCTGTTGTCTGCTGAGATGACCTCGGAGGTCACCCAGTTCTCATTCAGAATTTCTTCAACAATGTCTTCTTTAGTCTGAAAAACCGCCAACTGGCCACAGGGAGCTCTCTTCCTCCCCAGACCGGCATATCTGTGGCTTTTCTCCACTTCTGGGTCTCTGAAACCTCACTGCTAAGCAGGGCTTCCGGATGGACTGCGTCAGCTCCTGGAAAGTTCCCACAATGCAGACAGAGCTGTACTTTAACCAGCCACAAGCCCACCGCCCACCACGAAACTTACCTGTCCTTTTGGCCTTTCACATTGGTTGTTCAAAGGCAGACTCTTCAGTGCTGCTGGGCTGGGGAATGAGTGGACTTAGAAGGCAGAGATATGCACCCTTAAGGCTTGTAGGAACTGAGGGAGCAGATGGGCTGTAGGATCCTATTTTGATGCCAAGGACATGTTTCTGTATAAAGTAAATATTTTCCCACTGTGGATCTCTGGTGAGTCTGTAGAGAAGCGTATTTCCTAAAGATGCAAATAAGTCTAGTCAGAAATAAATATTGAATAGAAACTTCAAAGCCTCTAGATTTCTTGAGTTGTAGGCCCCGAAGATTTCTCTGCAAATAAGCAGACACATACACACAGGTGGATGCGGGCTTGGGGAGGGAACATTTGGGAGATTGTATGAGAAAAAGGATGACAACATTTTAATAGTTCATGTTCTGTTTGTGTGTGTGCAGAGCAAGGCATGTCAACAAAGGAATAAAGAAAAGTTATGCCTGTCCGGAGACTCGGGATTTTTTTCTTCTAAATATATATTTTTATTTACAGTCGACAAGTTGTAGACATATTTATGGGATTTATGTGATGTTGCAAGACATGTACACAATGTACAATGACCAGATCAGATTAATTGGCATATTCACTACCTCAAACACGTATCATTTCCTTGTTTGGGGAACATTCAGAGTTCCTCTTTAGGAGCTACTTTGTAATGCAATTGTCAACCATAGTGCCCTAATGTGCTATAGAACATTAGAAGTTACTCCTCTTTCCAGTTTTACCACTATGCCTGTTAACTGTTCTTTTTTCAGCACCCTCCTTCTAGCCCAAAAGTTTGGGATGTTTTCAGCACATGTCACCCTCTTTTTCCATCGTAGATCTCGCCTTGCAGATTTTTTTACCAACTGCCAGCCAGAATCAAGGTCTGTGAGCAGCTGTCTGAAGGAGAACTACGCAGACTGCCTCCTGGCCTACTCCGGGCTGATTGGTAAGATGGGGGAAGGCAGGACGGGAGAAAAGTCTGGTTTGCAAATGCCCGCACTCTTTCCTTGCAGCCAGATGATGCCTGCACATGTAAAAATCCCCCAGTAGCCTTCCGTGCTGGGGCTTTGACAATAGGCTCTTTAGGGTTTGCATGTTTTTAAAATGTAAAAAACCAGAACAATGGATGCACAAAGGACAAAGGCAGGAAACAGGGATTGTTAAGGGCAGGGAGACCACAAGTATGAAGAGGAGTGAAGTATCTCAGTTGGGGAACGGACCATGCAGAACAGAAGCAGGAAACAATCAAAGCCTGGTTATGAAAGAAGAGAGCAAGTCAAACAAAGTTAATTGTATTAGAGAACGTTAGAAGGAACTTGGAAGTGATTCCATCTGGGGAAATCAAAAAAGCTCTTTTCCAGAATGGCCCTTTGGAAATACAAACCCTAAATATCAAAGTTCTTGTTGCCATTAGTGTTCTTGGTAATCCAGCTCCCTATGTGCAGGGGGACCCTGAGGCTCATTTTTCTCCCCTGAAATACTATGTCATAGCAGAAGCAGTATTTTCTATCTCGAGTGTAGAATCTAGGGGAAACCATGTTCTCAGCAGTCAAGAGAACAGTGCCATGAAGAGAGGCTCCAGTGTGGGAAGAGAGCACGCTTGTTCCTCAGGAGAAGTGGGACTGGCAGGAGGCAAGATGGGTGTCCTAGGTATCAGGGACAGCAGAGGCTTTGGTGTCAGCACTCGGCTGCAGTTGGCATTTGAGAAGGGACATGTAGCACAGAAAACTGGGGAAAGTAAGAGAGACCGCGGTTGTCAGAGGGTGATGGCTCAGCCAGGGTGCGCTTCCCTGCCAGGTCTCTGTGTCAGGGTCACACAGGTCACCAGCCAGAAGAAGAGCCTCCCACCCAGCATGACAGCACAGGCCAAACCCTGTCACCAGAATGTCTTTGTGAGGAGCCTTTGGGGAAACCAGTGACAGTATTTGATGCTGTGGTACTGTCCCTTTTGTTTTGGCAAGGGTACCTGTGCTCCCTTGAGTCCCACCTGCCCCTGTTTTAATTAATGAGTAGACCTTACATCCGTATTCCAGATCTGCAATCAGGCTTTCCTTTTCTTAACAAAGTTAGTTACCAAATATGGAGTTAGAAAAAGAGCGAAAGCCATTAAGGCGCACTCATTGTTTAAAAAAAAAATTAAAAGAAAAATAACACCATAGAAGCTCACAGAAGCAAATGTTAAATATTCGCGGCCCTGCTCCAATAGCGAGTTACTGTTAATACTCCAGTCTGCAGCCTCCCAGGAGCACAAGCTCATTAACTCCTCCGTGAGTGGCCAGGGTGCAGTACTGCCAACTCTGTGAGCAGTTGAGGCTTGGCAGACCCTTGCATGCCTGAGGAGGTGGAAAGAAGGGAGAAGGAAGTAGAGGCAAGGTCTTCGACAGGCCCGCATTCATTTTGCTCTTCGGGTCTGGATCTCTCCCTCCACACTGGTTCCTGGGTCATTGGAACCTAAGTTACTTCTGCACGAAGCCTATTCCTACTTCTTCCATATGTCCGGGGTCCCCTCTGGTGCCTGAAATCCTCTCCTCACTCAGTATTTGGGTCGCCTCTTACTTTGTCAACTGAGTTAGAGATCCTTTGATATTGTAGCTTAAAATTCTAATGCTGAGTTGTAATAGGATATTACTCATTTCAAGTTAGGAAGGAATTAGGGCAAAGACAATAAACCCCCTTGACCCAGAGGAGCTTACAAAAATTCGCTTTTGTTTGTGAGCCAAATACATGCTGTGGATTCCTGACCATCTATTATTTCTTACTTCCATGGAAATACCTAAAAACAGAAGGCTTCTTGGCATTGGTGGGCACTGCCCGGTGTGAGCCACCCAGGGGGAGACATTTGGGCTGTATTAGTGTAAATACATTGTGTATTTGTGCCATTTGAGAATTTACCAGAAAAAGTCACGGATACCACAAAATTTAGCAGGAGGGACCACCCGGCATTTCTTTAAGGCCTATGGAAGGTCCACAGACAATACTGTAGGAGCCCTTGGCTCAGAGAAGTTCCAGTGTTTGTTTCCAAGTCTTCCACAACTTGGAAGCCTATTCAGATCAGTTGAGAATCTGGCGGGTGACAGCAGCCTTGTTACAAATGTACATACATTCCGCGTGTGGGGGATCCGTCAAGGCTCCTAAGCTTCCCTGTGTTACTCTGCAGAAGCCATTCGATTTGGAGGAAAGTGGATTCAAAGCCCTAAAAGGACTTTTAAGATATATAATTGCAGTGCTATCTGTTTATGAGGATTAATGACATTTTCAAGAAAATTTTAGGGATTTGGTAACTCATGCATTCTAAGTTAATTCTCTCCTACTCCATGACATTCATACCATTTGTGCAGGAGAAAAATACTGTAAATGCAACTCAAGGAGTTCTCCTATAATTTTTAAAGTAAACGTGTAAATTATTTTATGTGCTGAAGATAAATTGCCAAGAAAATGTGCTGCTTAACATAATTTCCCACTCAGCAAACACAGGGTTTGTAATTATCCACAGCACATCGGTTGTCAGAGGAACATTTGTTTCTTTTCTGTGGAAAAGTACGTATGATCACAGGAATGAAATGCCTTGTTTTTACTCTCTTAGGCACAGTCATGACCCCCAACTACATAGACTCTAGCAGCCTCAGTGTGGCCCCGTGGTGTGACTGCTTCAACAGTGGGAATGACCTGGAAGAATGCTTGAAGTTTTTGAATTTCTTCAAGGACAATAAATGTCTTAGTGAGTATTAAAAAAAGAAGCAGCAGCAGCATGCAAACACATGTTTTCTGTGGTGACCTTGAAGTGTACCTTCTTGTTTTTTGTGTTGTCTGCCTGTCCGCCCCCCACCCCTTCCCTTTTCCTGACTTCAGCTCTTCTTGGCCACGCTGCATGATGCAGCAGGGAACCACATGAGCGATGAACTGGGTGCTGCCAAGATTATGAATCCAAAGCCCTAAGAGAGCAAGAGATTCAAATGACTGAGGGTACATTATGTGGGAAAGAACACTTCCATCTGCAGATCAAATTTTGATCTTGGCAACCAGCAGAGAGTCCATTCCCAAGGTTCTGAAAACCTGGGCAGAATATACAATGTGAGAGGTTCAGATAAATGAGATGAAGATAGGCCTCCAAGAACCCCTCTGGGAAAAATTAGCATGTTAATGTCAGTAGCCCCTTGGATTTCCAGGGTTGGCTCAGAGCAGAAGCAACAAATATTGAGAGGGGGAAACTGGAGATGCAGCCAGGAGACTTAGAATGTCTGTTATCTCAGGAGATAAGATAAGCAGGGGCGGGCAGGCAGGAATGGTTGGGATGGGGCGTTCTGCTTGGAAACAGAGTCAGTTATTATTGCAGGGTCCTTTAGGCAGTTTAGAAACATGTTTCCCAAAGGGTTAGAGACAGAAAGAAAGAAATGTAGAAATATGAACAGTGGGCATCTATCAGATAGCTCCATAAGTGTGGTGCCGGGGTCACATGCAGCCGGAGGAGCATGCTCTAGGTGACAATCTGACTGAGATACTTGAAAGTTTCACTCACTCTCACGTGGTTTGTGGAACCACACTATAGGGTGTGGAATACACATTATCTCATTTTCTGGACTCTGCCTGTGAATCTTAGGAGACATAGGTGTTGTTATATCCACCACAGCTGAGTAAAAAGCAGCATTCACATGGTTCCTATGCAGCAGAGTTAGGATCAAACCCTTGTCCCCTCTCCTGAAAGTCTTGTTCATGCATGGCAATGAAAGATCTGTTGGACAAGAGCATAATTCTGAATTTTAGAGAAAAGGCCTGATTTCCTGGTGGGAAGGATAGACCAAATGTTTAGGAATCATGGTCCAGCCACTTTCCTGAGAGCCTTATTATCTTCAAGAGACAATCTCTCCTTGGTGCTTATAATAGACACACAAAACAACTTTTGAATGTTACCTGCTCCTTGTTCCATTTGTAGAAAAGAGATACAAGTTATTTGTTCGTTAGGTTATTTGAATAATGTTGCTGAAATCAGTCATTCTGGTTGCCTTAAAAATAAAACAGGCTTTTGGCTTCATAAATGAAATTCAAACCCACAAAATTAGCTTCAAGAATGGAGGCATTTGCTAAGACATTGGGCATGCCAAGGAATTTCAGTTTTGTTTGGTACTGACATATAAACACACACATGTGCATGTGTATACAACCTCTTTTCATATCTTGCCCTTTTCTGGCAGAATGCAAGTTTTAATATATCAATGACAATACAGTAACCATCCAAAAATGTTTTACTCATATTGGATGGAAAACTTTGCCCTCACAGAGAAATTAAAGTTATCCCTGCTTTGTAACATTCTGGTAAAAGAGAAAATAGTCTGGAATCTTACTGCTAATGACTTTTCAATAAAAATAAATGCATTTGGCCAGAAGTTTTCAGTCATCCTATTTGAACTTGGATTATACACTGGGCACAGAGCACCAAAGACATAGGGTTATAAATTCAGTCTCTTACAAGAGGAATAAACTAAGAACTCAATTCTACCACCTTTGGATTGGGCCAAACATCTCCAGATTCCCCTACCATGAACACAAATATAACCAATTCTTTACTTCTAGTTTCCATGTGGGAAAGTTATTTTTATTTCGAATGTATAACAGATGTAAGGGCAAGAGAGGAAAAGGATGGAGGAAAAGTGAAATATCAGTCGCATCACTCAAGTCTGTACGCAGATGGCTCCTCCTCTGCCCAGCTTCCCTAGACCACTAAATATCAGCCTCTTTGCACCCAGCTGCTCCCCTGCTCCCTCTTGTTTCATTTTTCTCTGGATACCTCTCGCCATCTGTATGCTGTAGATTTCCTTATCTGCCTCCTTTGTTGCTGTCATTGTTCACTACAGTATGCTGAGCACACAGACCAGAGGTTTGAATGAATGAATCAATGAATGAACAAGTGATGGACTGAATGAGAGTTTTTGTTATTGCTGTCCTGGCTCATTTAAGGAAACTGGACCCTATGTGCCCTTTCTTGATATTCTATGCGCCAGTTAAGCCGTGTAACATGGCAAGAAGTGTGAAAAAAGAGCATTTCTATTCATTTGAAGTTGTTTCTTACAACCCCCCAAAATGTAAAGTTGTAGAAAACAAGCTTCCAATTTGCTAAACTTAAAGGATAACAGTTTTAGAGCAACGTGTCACTTCTAAGGGGAATATCAGGTCTAAATTATTCTGTCTTGTGTATCAAAAGATGCCAACTAAGAGTCGTATAGTAACAATTTGCACATTCAGGTCCCAAATGAAAGAGTTTGATTTCTTATACAATGAATATGAAATAAAAAAAAATTTCTAAATCCAGGCCAAATCCCAGAAGACCTGATTAAAAACTGTTTTTTATTCATTTTGGGGAGGGAACAGCACACAACCAATTTACTCTTGCCATAAAAACAATCTAATCCCATGAAATTGTAATAAGCTTTTAAAGTTTTACATTTTAAACTTTTCATTTAAACAGGGCCGCTCCTATCTAATTATGCAGATTTTGTTTGGAAGACTGGGAGTAGAAACGGAAAAAATAATCTTACTTAAATGTTCACTAGATATTGATGAGGCTTGGGGTAGATTTTTTGTTGTTGTTGTTTTAAAGAAACTGGCCACTTTTTGCCTGCCAAATTAGTGTGGATGCCATTGGGTTTCCTCAGTCTCATTATTAGGGATGTAGTAAGGAAAAAGGCACCAATTAATTTGCTTTAAGTCTAGAATTTTGACAAAGCATAAAGGCTTTCTTGGAAAAATGGCACAGCTATGATCCCGATCCCAAGTAACAGGTCTGAGGCTGGGTTTCAAAGGGCTTGACTGATGAGTATTTCAGGGCAAGCACCTTGCTCAGGACCTGACACATAAATAGGAACACAATAAATATTTGTTGCACTTGGAATATAGCTAAGCATCCGGCTCAGTGTTTAATGACTGAGTTGATTTTTGAGCACCTGACCCAGAAGACTGATTCTCAATGTGGGTGGATTGGATGGATGGATGAATGGGTTTTGCTCGGAGATGTCCAGTCCTGTAATCAGGATTTCTAGTGTCCTTGCCTGACTGTGCGCATCTTGCTACATTTGTTGCTTGACTCTGAAATTGGATTCCCTCCTGTTTTATTGCAGAAAATGCAATTCAAGCCTTTGGCAATGGCTCCGACGTGACTGTGTGGCAGCCAGCCCTCCCGGTACAGACGACCACTGCCACCACCACCACTGCCTTCCGGGTCAAGAACAAGCCCCTGGGGCCCGCAGGCTCTGAGAATGAGATCCCCACACATGTTTTGCCACCTTGTGCAAATTTACAGGTGAGAATTGAGTCTAAATTTCCTATTTTAGCTCACTTCTAGGGACAACTTGGATTCATTTTATGAAATGCACGTAGAGGTGGATGACAAATGCTGCTCAATTTGAATCTCAAATTTTAAGTATCATAAATGGAGATTGTGATGTGTCATATAACAAAAAGAACGATGGACTATGGAACTGATACTAACATTTATTAGTGATGAGCCTTGGCGAAGGCACTTGTGTCCAGCTCTAGTAAATGAGGGATCTGGGCAGGTACACCCCCAGTTTCATTTGTGGGGTGGTAGAGTTGGGCTGGCTGTTCACTTGCGGTACTGATTTGTGTTCTCTGCAAAGTAGCATATTGAAGAGAAAGGAATCCTTGGGTTTGCCACCATCGTGGCCATTTAAACATAACACGAGGCATTGGATCAGCTTTGAAGGTAAAGAGAGGGCCACTAGTCAAGTGCTAGGCCATGTGTGGAGTCCCAGCTGGGTGGGCTCTTTAGGAAGCAGAAGCAGGTGCTCTTCAGCAGTGAGAGGCACTGTACGCTGCCCTGTTAAAGAAGAGTCCAGTGAAAGAAAGGAGTCAATCCAGGTCTATAAGGCAGAACCACAACAATGTATAAACAGCGATTTCCTGCTTTTGGTCAAAAGTAGAATGTCTCTTCTACCTTTTTGTTGATTTATCACAGAAATGAGTATTCAGCTATTTGGTAAGACATTAGTTATATGTATGTTCATAAAGGCTTTGTACATATTTTATCCTTTTGGATGTTATCCTCCTCGTGGCTGCAGGAGAGGAGCTATTACTCCAGCAGTCTAGCCTCAGAGAAATGATGTCTGTTCAAGTCTGCAACACTTGTAGGTCATAAAAACAGCACTGGGAATCCAGGAGCCTCGTTCTTTTCGTGTCATTCTGTGTTTTTCTGTGACTACATGGTGACTTCTGTCTCTTGCCATGCTTGAGAAAAGAACACTCGTAATCTATGTGTCAGGAACTGTGGGGTGGCCTCACACTTACCACTGCAGTACACACTCACCTTCCTCACCAAGGCTTAGCCTCATTCCCAGAAGTCTTCTTTTGCCAAATACCATCTTGACCCACAACCTACCTTATTCCCTAGAAAGTATCAGGGCAGTTTTTCCACTCTCGTGCGTTCTTGATATTTCCTCACTTCCAACATTTCCGCTCTTTTTCATTGTCCTACATGTCATTTACCCAAGCTTTGGTGACTGCCCTCAGTCATCCTGGGTCTCTGCCCCAACACGGAGTCTCAGTAAAGAGAAGGCACAGTAAAGATAAGGAAACCACATAGCCCACGGTCAACCAGATGTTCTTCATGCTTCTAAAGCATTTCTTGAGCTTTTACCCTCCCCTAAGCACTGGGCAGAGAGTGCCAGAGCTGAGAGGTAGCTTGAAGAATAATCTTGTACCCTCTAACTCCTCCATCCTGCAGCAGGACCCTAAGTTTTGCAGAAAGGAAATGACTTGTACAAAGTTCCCCGGCCAGGCAGAGATGGATCTAGAGTTTGGCAAGGGACAGAATCTCTTATTCATCTCTGATTAGGGCTCAGTGCCCACTTGCTCCCAGGTCAGTATTTTTCCTTGGGATGCCATCAGGTTCTAGTGTCATCAAAGACAATGGCCAGATGAGGAACAGGACCTTGTCATCATCAGGTGGCAGATGTGGGCCAGTGGTGGTTTTCGACCAGTTAGAATGGTGCGCTCTGGCTACAGTGGAACCAGCCAGAGTCTTTGTGTGCACATCTAGGTGCACAGAAGGTGGCTGCAGAAGCCACCTTCAACCTGCTTATTAAATCCTTTCTGCACTTTGGAAATTTCAGGAAGGTGAGCATTCAAAATATAAACCAAAAATTGACTCTTCAGTGAACTAAGAATAGTAGGCGGGATGCAACTTTCCACATTTTTAGGAGGTCAGGCTAGGTCAGTAGGAGACATTTCAGATTAGTCATCGCCGGGAACTCCTCAAAACTCCAGGTCCCCCCGTGAACAGAGAGGAGTCTCTGCCTCAGGAGGTACCTACTGCATCTCTCGCCTCTTCCTTGCCCCATCACAATCCCCCATTGGATGCCCAGGATGCAGGGCTTGGCTTGGCTGCACATCTAGTGCTGTGTGTCCAGCATGGATTTTTCCAGCCACCCCTGCCTGCCCGGAGTGCTCTGACCACAGGGGTGCCCTGGAAACATCAGGGAGCATCTGAGCTTTTATCCCAAGAAACTCTGCCTTTCTACTCCCTGTGTTAGTACTGGGAACTCTGCTTCATCCATAGAGAGGTGAAAGTAAAATTAACACATGGTGTTTGTCTCAGGGCTGCCATTTGATCTCTAGGCAGAGGGGGCATGGAGGAGTGGGACCAGCCAGGAAAAGGGTGGCTACCTCTCTTCCCTGTGATGAGCATCAGAGCTGAACGTCTGGCTCCAGGTGGCTGTCCCATATTTATACCCGTGAGATCCAGAATGAACATCCGAGCCTGTGTCAAACCCTGCTCTAGTCTTCACCAGCATCATGCCCTCGTTGGGTGTGCTGACCTCTGTGAGCCTCCGTTTCCCTGTTACAAGGTATGAGAATGGCCTTGCTGCTAGAATTGAGAGGATTAAATGGGAGCGGAGCGAATGCTCCTGAATGACACTTTTCGAAGGCCCCTTGTGATGCCTGATCCCCACTCAGTCACATGGTCCCCTTAGGAAGTGGACACTGGTGCTGTGCTTTGCTCAGGGCTGGGCATTGGGGGTGATCACAGTGGTGTAAGTGAACACTAACAGGTGAATGGTGTGTTTTATTCTCTGAAGCATCTTGAATGCTTTCTCCCCTTCACTCCTCAGAGCCGCCATATGAGTCAGATGTGGCAGACATCCTTTGTACAAGTGAGGCAGAAAGAGCTAGAGACTTAGCTAACATCACACACTATTTCATCTATGGTCTCTGCAGTTTTGCCTTGTCCTATGACCTTTGTCGTTGAGTTAGGAACAGATGGTGAAAAGGAAGTAAAGAACAGAAAAGGAAGAAAGGAGAAGCCAGGTTTGACAGACCTGTGCCCTGGCTCATACAGATGAGGAAGACAAAAAAACAAAGCTCATACTCTACACTTTATGGCAGTTGATCTTGTCATTTTGTCTGGATTACGAGACTCCTGGAGAGGTGACTGAACTGTGGGAGCACTGTTCGCATCCCTGGATTAATCCGTTGATGTTCATAGTTGAATTGGCTGCGGGAAGTGTAGCCTGGTTGGAGGAGTGAGTCACTGGGGATGTGCTTTTGAAAGGTGTACCTCTCCCTGCTGGTACTCTTCCCCTGTGCTCTGATTCTGGCTGCCAAAATGGCCAGCCAACCACGGACTGGAACCTCTGAAACCAGTAGTCAAATTAAAACTCTTCTTTAAACTGCAGGTGTCAGGTATTTTGTCTCAGTAACAGGAAAGCTCTGGGTTTCTTTGTGCCTCAGGGGCAGGATACATATAGGCGGAGGACTGAAAGTTTGTCAGTAAAACTTTGAACACCTTGATGACCTTTTTAGAGTGACCTACGTGAAAATGGTTGAAAGGATGGTTTAAGGCCAGAGGATCTGAGAGTGACAAATTAAGGGCTTCACCCTGAGAATGTCGCCCCTCTGGCTGATTGAGGACTCTTGCTCTGTGCAGGGCTCCCAGGGGCTCATTCTCTGCATCTGCCCTTCTGTTGCCTGTCTGGCTGTCTCTAGATGAATTACTTCTTGTCAGAGGTCCTAGAAATATCTTAGAATGACGTTTGTCCCAGCCACCTGTGTCATGACTAGGAATAGAACTGACTTAAACCATCTTGGGATCCATGGGTAAGAGATTTGGAGACAATCAACAGTCTTTGGCAGCTCTAAAGTTCACTTCCCATGAGAAGTGCCCTCTCCTAATGTTTTAAAATATACAATAATAGAAGAAAACTCTCGGGGACTGGAGTATCTATCTTAACATTTGAGATAGATTTCCCCCTTGGAAAGGAAGACATAAGAATAAACATTTTTGAAAGTTTGCTTCCTAACGTTATTATCAACAAACCTAAGGCTGTTCTACATGAGAATAGGTGGCCTTGGGTGTGGTGATCAGGGCCTCATCTGTGACTCCTGGGAAAGGCTCTGCTTTAAAAAAGGGAAGTTGATTGAATAGTATAAAATGTCATGGAAATGTCCAATTGCTAACCTCCTGAGGTGATAAAATACTGGGTTTTGGGTAACCTGCCAAGCTCCCATGTCAGGATTAATTGGCAGTCATATTAGTAACAAGCCCTACACAAGCTGTGCTATTGTTGGCATATTCTTTTGACTTGTACAGAGTGGTCACATGAAAGACTAAGAAACCTTAATAATTCTACCAATTATTTCATCATCTGTACACTTGAGTGGTCTGCTAACTTGAAAAGCTCAGGATATTTAAAACAAATGGACTGTACTTGTCGCTTATTTAAAGAAAATATCATTGGAGATTAAGTCAGTGCTAGAAAAATTTGTATTTTGCATTGTACACTGCTTAACCCTTGTGACTTACAGGGAAGACCCACCCCGCTGCAGTACCTAAGATAGAACTCAGGACCTTGCACATGTGAGGCAGGTGCTGCACTACTGAGCTAAATCCCCAGTCCCAGGGAAGACTTTGTAAATGTAGTATTTGTAGACCTCTGACTTTTGTATTTCGATAGAATACATTTCCCCTTTTGTATCTGTGGGGAATTGGTTCCCGGATCCTCCAAGGATATCAAAAACCATGGATGCTCAAAGCGCCTTACATCAAATGACGTAATATTTGGATATAACTTAGGACACCCTCCTGTATATTTAAAATCATTTATAAATTATGTATAATACCTAATACAAATGAAAATGATATATAAATCATTGTTACACTGTATCATTTATGAAATTGTGACAAGATAAAAGTCTATATATGTTTAGTTCAGACATTTTTTTTTTTTTTTTTTTGCTAATACTTTTCACCCAGGTTGTTGAACCCTCAGAAGTCCTGGAGACAGA